TGTGTGTGTGTGTGTGTGTGTGTGTGTGTGTGTGTGTATGTGTGTTTGTGTATATATATATCCCATTAAACGTCGAACAATTTTTTTTTTTTTTCTCTAAAGAAGCAATTGCCAATTTCGATAGAAGACGACTCGAAATTACACGATCGAAAAAAAAAAGTATACGTGCAAATTGTGCAACGTAAAATATATATATATATATATAATAAGCACAAAATAAGACGCATGCGATTTGCAAATCGTAACTCAAGCATCGTCGATAAAAAAGAAAATTTACTTCTTCGCGCAACGAAGTTAATTAAAAATCGGCGAGCATTGACTGTCACTCTGATTTCTCAAAATCTTAAAAAAAAATTAAATCACAACACGTTCTTCGTAACAACATTCTTTTCCGTTAACAATTTTTTTTTTTTTTAAGCAGAAATTACGCAGAAGATCGGTAATAAAATTAAAAAAAATCAGTGATGCGCAATCAACGTGATGTTTTAATTTGGAACAATCGTGTCAAATTGTTCCCTTTGGTGATTTTTCTCAACTAGCTTCGATTTGTACAATAAAGTTTTTTTTTTTCGCAAAATATACATTACATTTCATTTCATTTCAATTTTTTTTTTTTTTTTTTTTTTTTTTTTTTTTTTTTTTTTTTTTTTTTTTTTTTTTTTTTTTTTTTTTTTTTTTTTTTTTTTTTTTTTTTTTGATTTTTCGTTTCTCACGCGTTCAAAAACTTTGGCATGTAGCAAATAAGAGATCATACCGAGCGAACTATATAGCCTCTTCGTATAATTGCACAAAGATAAAAGACTCGAATCATTGGATTAGATCCAGCCGGATAGAAGGCGAGCCATACTATCGGCATTATATTAATTCTTTGGATTAAAATAAAATTGTAACGCGATAAAAAAAAAGATAAATTAAAAACTAAAGAGAAACAAGCAAACAATATGAATAACAAAATAAACAAAAAGTAGATAACACAAAAATAACATATTAAAGTTTTACATTCCATATCGGAATATATATATATATATATAGATGATGTAAACGAAAATAAAATTCTATTTACATTCCGTAAATAATAATCGGTTGGTAATACGTACATATTCGTGAACACGAATTCGGCAAGCTTCCGAGCAAGCTTATAACTAAAATAGTACATATGAGTATATATTCAATATCGTAAACATATATGTATTATGGCCAAAAATTTTAATCCAGGGGTAAACGTACGAATATAAATGAGCAACTCGAAAGCCAACTCGACTGCCAATGCGAAGAACAGGTTGGCCACAAAACGCGAACGCGAAGAGTTTCGCGTGTTATTTGCTTAAAGAAAAGAAAAGAAAAGAAAAAAAATAGAGCAATGAAAATGGCACGTTTTTTCGATATATATATATATATATAAGATCGTACGTTTGATTGACGATTGGATACGTTTTACGCATCCGTGACAACATAGACACCTATTACGAATTAGTCATAAACTCGAGGAAAGTTTTTATTACGATCTTGCTCACATCGTACGCGAAAAAGAGAAATATACCGATAGTCGGTTACGAAACTTTCGTCGAGATTAAAGATATTCGCTGAAAGTCGTCAGTCGGAAAGATTATTTAGTTTAAAAAAAAAAAAAAAAAAAAAAAAATATGTATGATCGTTTTCGGGGCTTCGATGTTTTTTCTTTTTTTTTTTTTTTTTAAAAAAAAAAAAAAAAAAACAGCGCCCCCCCAAAAACACCAACAACCTTTTTTTTTTTTTTTTTTTTTTTGCTCAGTCTCACAATTGATCTACTACTTTCAGGATAGCACGCGAACATTATGTATACTCTTGATCGATCGTACAAAGAAAGATGCACATTCCTCCTTACACGCTATTAAGTACCGAACTCATTTGACTAGATAAAATAATTTGCCTTTTTCTTTCTTTCCTATAGCATGTCTTTGGTTATAAAAAAGGTTAATAATATAGGTTTATTCTCCTCCTGGTAATCATAATTCGCACGCGAAATCTACTCCTTTTCTTTTTTTTTTTCTTTCTCTCTTCCTTCTTCCATTCTTCTCTCTTCTCTTCTCTACACATCTTCTTCTCCTCTTTCGTATATGCATATACAGATAGATACACATTAACTCGAACGTATACACATATATGTGTATAAATGACTAGGGTGAAAAGTGTAAGACAGGCGTCTCTTTAACAGGCTTCCCGTCGACGACTAGAGAGATATTTTACGCATCGCGTTTCCGAGATGAGAAAAATTATTATTTGTGAATAAAAAAAAAAAAATAAACGTGTCCCCGTATTCTCTCGAACGAACTCGACCTTGAGCTCGACCTCATTCGCTTACATTATTTACATCGCATTTCGTTGATCATCACCATATTCGTTAATTCATTTTCAATCGAGCAAAGATACGTTCCTAATAACCTAACCTTACATATACATACATATGCATACATATCACGTATACATATATATATATATATGTAAAAATCTTTCCGATCTTGGATCGAAAACGATACGCGTAATACACGAGGAAAGAATTGGACGAATGAAGAAAAAAAAAAGCAAGGAAAGAAGGGGAAGGGGGAGAAGAAGAAAAAAAGAGAAACGGGAAAAGGATGATTTATCCTCTCTTACGTCGACGGGTGTACGAGTTGGGCAGGATATGTTCGCACTAAGGAATAGGACTAGACGTGATTCTCTCGACGCTGCTCTCTCTGATGCGTATAGTGGTATAGGTGGCGTTAGGCTCGAGACCAGCGGTGGGACTTCCGACGTTTTGGTGGGCGATCGCAGTGGAGGAGACGGAAATAGGCTGTGGCAGAGGCGTGGTGACAGAGGCGTCAGGTGGCGTGGAGGCGCCGCTGACAGCGGATACAACGGGGACGACACCAGGGACGGCGTTGGTGGATGCGGTTCCTCCTGTCCCAGCTCCATTCCCGGCGGCGGCTGCGGCTGCGGCTGCGGCTGCTGCTGCTGCTGCTGCGGCGGCGTTCGCAACTGCAGTTGCGGCGGCTGCGGCGGTCGTCCCCACGCCTAGCCAACCGTGCCGATTTTTTAAATGTCGCTTCATGTGTGTCGTGCGGCTCAGCACTTTATGGCACACCGGACACTGAGTCGTCCCTTTGTGCATGTTCATGTGTTTGTACATCGAGTCCCGATTCCAAAACGTTTTACCGCAGAGTTTGCACGAATGCGACGGCTGTTCGATGACCACCGTACGAGAATCTAAATCAAATATAAACGTTCATGGTAGTACATACACGCCCATCGTCGTGCCAACACTCACAATATAATCTTTTTTTTTTTTTTCTTTTTTAATCTCTTGCGTACCGTCTTTGCGAAACGATCTTAGAGATAGAAAATCATAATACAATGTTATACAAAATATATTTTACACCCGATCTCTTTCTCTCTCTCTCTCTCGCTCTCTTTCTCTCTCTATTATATTTTTCTCTCTCTCGCTAATTTTTTTTTCCTTTCCTCTACCCTTTTTTTCATTCTTTCTTTCTTTCTTCCTTGCTTTCTCGCTTTCCTTCTTCCTTTCCTTCCTTCCCTTCTTCCCTCCTTCCTTTCTCTCTCACTTTCACTCTCCTCTTTCTCTCCCTCTCTTTCTCTCTTTCTTTCTCTCAATTTCTTTCAATTATACTTTTTATACTTTCCCTTCTCTCTACCTACTGTTCATCAATTCATCCGTTTACTACTACGCATACTCGTTCCTCGATCTATGTATGAACAGGTCGAGGAGTTAAACGGTAAGAAAAGGCAGCACACACGATGAGTTGTACAAGGAGGAGCAACCACGAGATGGTAAACACGCAACTGTAAACTCTTGGAATAATCATGCTGAATACGGTGAATATTGTGGATACAACGTTTGAAACGACAACAAAACAATTGTATGTACGTACAAAAAGAAAAATGTTTCATTATTCATGCAGAAGAATAATATATATATATATATAAAAATTCCTAATCGAAGGTATCGGTATCGGTTGCAGTTAGAAAATGCAATTGAAAAATCAATCACAAAACAAGCATTTTGTAATTACGGTGATCACACGTTTACCTTATGTATGGTACACAAGAAATTTAATTTTTTTTTTCTTTTTTTTTTTTTTTGCGTGTGTGTGTGAATATTCGTAAAAACTGCCTGTTGTGCGCAGTGAACCGACAATCATGTATTCCTTTTGAGCAATATAGTGTGTTCTTTTTTTTCTTTTTTATATGTGTATAGATCTATGACAAAATTGATAAAAAAAAATATCGAGCGATGAATCGAGAATTATCATCGATCATTCGACATCTTCGAAGACGCTGACACCGACGTGAGACAAAAAGAAAAATGAAAAAAAAAAAAAAGAAAAGAAAGAAAAAGAAATAAAAAGACGAAACAAAAAAAAAGGAAAACATCTTATACGATATTTTTATTTTTCACCTCACGCATGTATATACGTACAAAAAAGGAAGAGCGACGATGGTATCTCGTCATTTTTACAAGCTACGATGGAATGAATTTTTACGTATTAATTCGTTTCACATTTTATAACGATAACGAGAGTTTCTTGTTAAAAGAAAAAAAAAAAATAAATAAAAAAAAAATAAAAAAAAGAAAGAAAAAGAAACAAGAAATTCTCTTAATTCTCGTGTATTATTCCGAATTAACGAGGAAAGAGACGACATGTATGTAATAGTAACCAATTGGAAATTAATCGAATTCAGGAGCATGAAAAGTAATAGTTTTTCGTTCTCTTCTCTTTCCCTTTACGCAATATTTGTATTCCAAATAAAGATAAAAAATGTAAAAAATTAAGTAATTAAAAAAATTGTCGCAAAATGATAAAATAATAGCAAGAAGATTCCGATTTTTTTTTATACATATTCTTAGCTACTATATATTCTTAGCTACTATGTACACGATATATATTTATATATATATATGATACAAATTTAACGATAAATCGTAAAAGGTGTCGCGTTTTCATGCACAATATATTACCATTTAGATAAGATATATAATAAATATTTAACGCGCGCGTAGATACGACGAATGAAGTAAGAAAAAAAATCGATCGAAAGCAAAATGAAAGAAAGAAAAAAAGTAGATGCAAATGATTCGCATCGAAATAGGAATTAATTTTCAATATATCCCTAATATCGAATTCGGAATGGCGAATCCACAGCCTATGGTGTATATTTTTTTTCTTTTTTTTTTTTTTTTTTCCTCCTTATTTTCAATCTACAAATTTTTTAAATCTCGTGTAATCTCGTGTTATTTAACACCATGAACATTTAACATGTGACAACGCATCGTGTATTTTCGTGTGAAAACAGCCTGACAAATCGGACAGATCGTATCACCCCTGTGTATACTACGATGATGGGCCAAGGAATCACCACGGTTATAAGTGCGACCGCAGACATCGCATACCCAACGACCATTTTCATCGTGAAGAGGCTTAGATCTACGTCTGACCCGCTCGTAACCGAGGCTCGATTGTTGTTGTTGTTGTTGAAGATGTTGCTCCTGTTGTTGCGACTGTTGGTGATGATACTGCTGCTGCTGCTGCTGCTGCTGCTGCTGCTGTTGCTGTTGCTGTTGTTGCTGCTGCTCCTGATGTAGCTCGTGTCGATGCACGTGATGATTCCCAATAGGCGTTGTATCGTGCTTAGATTCTGCGCACACAATCCAAAGTGTTCCCATACACACAGACAGCTTCATACTTATGTGATAAAATTTCACCGGTTTTTGCATTTGCGTTTCGAATCTTGAAAACGAGATTTTTTTTTAATATTTTCTCTGCATTGTTCGTTGTTGCTTGCCCTTGCTCTGCTATTTATTATTTTTTTAATCACGTTATTTAATTTTCCAAGGCCAATTTTCTTTTTTTTTTTCCCGATAAGATGAAAATAAATTGTTGGACGAATATTTCGACATGGCGAAAGTTTAAGTTTCTCTCTGACAAATAGAGAAGTAGGGATAAGGATCGATTTAAGGGGATACGACGAAATAGACGGTTAAAAGGCAGGAAAGCGAGTATTGGTATTCGTGTTTGGAACAACGATTAGCGTGTTTATGTATATATATATATATATATATAACGCGACTTTCATAAAAATAACCGTCACAGTTTGTACGCGTTTGAAATGTATGTATGTGTGTGTATCCTCTGTATAGCCATTACGAGCTGAAAAAAATTCCCACAAGCATGTTCAACGAAGCGTCCAGTTAAAGAAAACAGAAAGGACATTTTGTTCGAATATCGAATAATAACAAAACAAGCTTGCAAATATTTTAACATTTATGCAATTGTTTGATATTCGACAGCTGCGGTAATACGGACGATTGAAATATGTAACATCGAAACATTACATGTTAGATTGTTTTTAATTATTTATATTTTTGAACGAGTGAAACAAAGAAGTTGTATCGTTTTCTTTTTTTTAGAAAGTTTTATTGGAACTTCCTGACAAGTGATTCAAATGCGAGATATATCTTTCGAGACTGTTTTTTTTTTTTTTTTTAAAGTAAAATCGTATACAAACATCCTATAATAAGGTAAAATTTTCAACTATAAATAAAGATACGATGTATTAACGTGCAAACATAAAATTAAACCAATATAGCGCATCGCACCAACAACAGTCGCATTTCTCTCATAATTAGTTGTCGATCGTTTACGAAATAAAAACACGCGGGTCTCAACTTTCTTTCCAACTTTAATTTATTTATTTTTTTTTTTTTTTTTCGTTCTACAGGAATGGCTCGATATATCCTCTTGCTTTGATCAAATTATCGCGCCATTTTCCTTCTCGTTTCGTGGGTTTCCGAGTAAGCTGAAGATATATTGAGAGATTCGATTGATCGTAATTTCGATCGACAATTTCGGCCTGTGCGTTAATAAATCTCGAAGAGAAGGAGAAGAATTTCGCCGCCCTTCCTCGACAAATAATTACTAATATTGCTTTGTAAGAATGGGAAAGGGAGGGAGGGGAGTGTACGCGGAATCGTTTCGTGGTATTTTTTTCTTTTATTTTTTTTTTTGGGACAACAAGATTATTTCTCTCTGGAAAAAGATCACTGCCAGTATATCAAGAATACGTCGAATCGAAGACTGTCATTTTTCTAGGGGGTTGAAATATTCTCCGTCTAACGATCGTAAACGGGATCGTATTCTTATCCATATCGACACGTATAACGTAAGTGTAGTAGTCGCGTAGGCATAAGATAAGCTCTATCGATATTTAATAAGATGCATTGCGAGGGATAAAAAGAAGGAAGGAAGGAAGGAAGGAAGGAAGGAAGGAAGGAAGGAGGGAAGAGATGAAGAGATATCGCAAGGCTAGCAGACACGCAGCAAACAAGCACGTATATACAAGCAAGCTCGTAAGCTTTAGCGAAAAAGTAAAGCGAGTCGAATAAACGTTTTCTAGTCCCCGATAAAAATTTTCGTCCGTTTTTTTTTTTTTTCTTCTTCTTCTTCCTTAACCTTAACCCTTCCCCTCGGTTGAAGAATTCACGCCCATTTGTCGAGTAATTTGCTTTTAATCGCGCTACCTACTCGATCCCTTACTCGTCGCATTGTTATTTCTCTTTCTTTCTCTCTCCATCTATCTATCTGTCTTTCTCTCTCTCTCTCTCTCTCTCTCTCTCTCTTCTTTTTTATACAATTTTTATATCCACCCACGATGAATGCTACTATTATCGACTGCGTTTCTCCGCTTCTTTC